AACTCTGCTTGTCCCCTGACTTTGATTGGTAAAGAGGTCTCAGAGCCCCTAGTGCATCTTTTCCTCGTTGCCAAAAGTAAAATAAGACTTTGCTGGTAGGGTAGCGGTGCTTAAGCAAATAGCTCCCTCCCGGGCTCTGCGGGTGTTAGCACAGAGACTAGAAGGGGACCCTTTTGAGAACTAGTTGAATTGAATGTAATGGCCATGAATACCAAGTGGGCCCTTAGCGCTTGCCTGGCACCCTTGGCTTTCCTAGACAGCAGCACTACTTCAGTTCTCACGGACCAGGATGGAAAGAAAGATGGGAAGTTGGGGGGAAGGGGCAAACCCCTACCCTCCCACCCCTCCAGGCCTCACTCCACCCCCCAAAAAAAACCTAAACTAAGCTTCTCACTGAATGGCATCAAGTCACCTGTAAAGAATTAAAGTCCCCCCCCCTTTTTTTTTCAGAAAAATCTCACAATCAAATGCTGAACAGGACTTGTATTTGGCTCTGTATGAAGATACAGTAAGGACCCCTTTGGTCTTTCTGGACCTGTGGTTTTAGTCAGCACTTCTTTTCTTTGTTTAAACATTTAAAATGCACCTGAGAAACCACTTTGTACCCTCATTTAATAAAGAAGGGATCTGCTTATTTATTTATTCATCTATCTGTTTTTGCAATACTGGAGATTACACACCACACAGCGTGCATGCCAGGCAAGTTTCCTAACCCTGAGCTACGTCTTCGGTCTCATCTTTGTTCTTGAGACATGAGGGAATCACTGAATTCATCAGGAATGCCTTGAAGCTGTGAGTAGAAAGGATCACAGGCCCGTGCCCTAAAGTCTGGCAAGGAGAGTTCTTTAGAGAAAAATAATTATACCAAAATATATTTTACTTAATCTTTCAAATCCTCTGAGTAATGTGGTTTTGGTGGCCATCAAAATCATATGTATACACTATTGTGAATAAATTTAACTATGATTCTCCCCCAGAGAGCCTGAGCCCACCCTAGGGTATGTCTAACAGTCCCTTTTTCAAACGTCTCTCTTCTCTCTCCCCGTCTTTTCTTCTCTTTTCTCTTCTGCCTTCTCTCTGATTCCCTCTCCACTCCCCACCCTTCTGCCTTCCCTCTCTTCCTCTCTCCTCCCTCCCTCTGCCCTCCCTCCTTCTCTCTTCTCTCCCTCTCTCTTCACCCCTCAACATCTTCCTACCCCTTCCCTCTCTTCCCATCCCTCCCTCCTCTGTCCCTCCTCTATGCCTTTGTGTAAATCTATATCAAAATCTCTCTTTTCATAAAACAACCTCAACTTTGCTTCATATCGACTCGCCTAGAAATTCTTTCCACCAGTGTGAGGCTCAGGCTGCCCCTGAGCTCCTCAGACAAAAAGCAGTGCTAAACTCTGTCTCCAGCTCCTCTGACAGAAAGACACCCCCCACACACACACATACATACACATTTAGCATCTCTGGAATTGAGATGCATTTTTAATTGATGGTGAATACTTATTATAATTTGTCATTTTTTTCTGTTGCAGCAGTAAGATTTTATATATATATATATATATATATATATATATATATATATATATATTCAATAAAATAAAACATTTCACAAATTCCCATGCCTACTGAACTCCATCCACACTAACACAAACAATTAGAAGGGCTTTCTAGCCACATCCCCCTGCCCATCTCTGCCTGTTCCCACAGGTTTTGACTTCCTCCCACCAAAATCAAAGTTTCAAAGAATAATTCCTGCCCCTCCAGGGCGTTTGCCAGACCCTTGTGATGTTCTATGAGGTGAAAAATTCCAGCACTGCCAACGTTTGTCTTTTCACTCCTCTTTCCCACAAGGGTACAGGAATCTTCCCAAATAGCACACAAGAGATGATGTTTTTTCCAGGCTGAATTTAAAAGTGTGAAAATTCAGTTGTCTCCTCTAAAGAAAGCCAGAAACTACAGATATACTCAAGGCTGGAGAGATGGCTCAGTGGTTAAATCCAATTTGAAGTGGGATGACCATTTTTAATCTGGATCTTTTGAGGTGGGAAGATGCACCTTTAGTCTGGGCCACACCTTCTGCTGTAAGCCATTGTAAAGGACAAAGGAAGCCGGCCTTTGCCTGCTTGACCTCACTCTCACTGGCAAGCCCATTCTGGTGTATACAGTGGAGACAGCCAGCATTACAGCCAGCCTTGTAGACTGAATATAACTACTGGATTCTTGGGTCTTCTATTGGTAGACAGCCATTAGATTAGCTGGACCACAGCCTGTAAGCCATTCTAATAAAGAGAGAGAAGCTCTCTTCTCTCTTTCTCCCTCTTTTTCCCCTCACCACACACACACACACACATATATATACATATATATATATATGTATATATATACAAATCACATACATATGTATAGATATATAGACATATATCACATGCATATATTCATATATTCTATAAGCTCTGTTCCTCTAGCGAACCCTGACTAATACAGTTCCCCACAGGCTCACGTATTTGATTACTTGGTCGCCAGCTGGTGGCACTGTTTGGAAAGGTTGTGAACCTTTGTGAGGTGGGAGCCTTGCTGGAGGAGGGGCATTACTAGGGGGTGGAGATTGAACGTTTATAGTTTTGCCCCACTGCCTGTTCATTCTCTTTGCTTGGTGCTTACGTTTGAAGATGTGCCCCCTGCTCCTGCCTCCATGCCTGCTGCCTCCTGCTTCCTGCTTCCTGTTTCCTGCACCCCCCCCACAATAGACTCTCACCCCTCTGCCACCACAACGAAAATAAACCCTTCTATAAATTGCTTATTTACAGAATTTCCCCACAGCAACAGAGAAATAACGAATACAGGCCTACAGTATTTTTGTAAAGTATGAATGGTCTGAGACTAAGACGCTTTAGGACCATTGTGCTAGATAAACAGTGCTTCTAAAGGCACCATCTTCTCTCTACTTATTTGCTAAATTCATCCTCTCTCACACACGTCAGCAATTCTGCCCACCTCTCACACACCCGTCAGTTCGCTTCCCCACAGAATCTTAACACACACCAACACCTCTTCTGCTGTTTGACACGGGGTCTTGCCTGTGATGGCCTCATATTTGCCGTAGCTCTGCCTTGGCTTCTGGAGAGACGGGGTCAAAGGCAGGCAGCTTTTGTATTTCTGTATTTTTTCCTCGTGTTTTTTTTCCATCTTAAGCCAAATATGAACTCTGATGAAGCTCCTCCTTGCTTCCCTGCTTCTGCTTAATGCTAGCTCATCCTTGATTCTATTTTACCTACTAAATATAAAATGTTTCCCAAACCCATATCTCCACCACACCCCCCCAACAAACTCCTTTACCCACACTCCCCATTCTCCATATCTCAGTTGGTGGAAGTCCTTCCTGCGGCTCAGGCCCCAATCCTGGAATCCGCTTGAAGTCCTCTGATTCTCTCACATCTCCTGAGTAGCTTATCTTTCATCACATTGTCTCAGCCAATCAGATCACTTCCTCATGTCTCCTGCCTTCATGCTCAGCAGCAATCTCCACAGTACTGTCTTTTTACTTTTATTTGTTAATTATATATTATATATAATATATAACATAATGAATAGATAGATGATAGATAGATGATAGATAGATAGATAGATAGATAGATAGATAGATAGATAGATAGATTATGAATGCTCTCCGTGTCAGAAGAGGACATCAGATCACATTATAGATTGCTGTGAGCCACCATGTGGTTGCTGGGAATGGAACTCACGACCTCTGGGGAAGAGCAAGCAGCCAGGGCTCTTAACCGCTGAGCCACCACATGTGGCTCTGACTGGACTGTCGATGCAGCAGGCAGGGTAGTCCTTTAAAAGCATATGTCTATTCCTGCTGTTCTTTTACTCACAAATTCCAATGGATCTCTGCTTCGTTCAGAAAAAAAAAAAAAAAAAAGTTGGTACCTTCCCAAAAACCCAGCGGATCTTACACCTTTTAGCTCCTTGTTGATTTGTTCTCTCATTAATCTTTTTAATTTCAGCACGTATCCCTCTTCCACTCACTCCCTCACCCTCGCCACTCCCACCGGTCCTGTCAGTACCTTGCACATGCTCAGCTGAGCACGCTAACTGACAGACCTCTGTGCTCACCCTGAAAATGTCATCTACACACAGACCCAGAGATCTCTCTTCTCTTTAAGGGTTTGCTCCAGGTTGCCCTCAAGGTGTCTCCCCTTCCACCAAGCAAGTGCAAACCACTGTCAACCTCCATCATGTTTGCTACACACATTTTCTTTAGTTTTGGAGGGTATTTATCACAGATTGTACTTCACAGATGTATCACAGATGTGCTTCTATCAACTCCTGTTTAGGTCACTCCAGAAAGATAGCGATTTCTTATCTAGTTTGTTTACTGATAAGACCAATGGCCAAGTGATAACATTTGAAAGAGACACGACAGGCATTAATTCGATAGCTATTTGCTACAGGGATTAAAACCTGGAAGACTTCTAAGATTGTAGTTATTATGTTGAGCCCAAAGAATCTTCCATGTCTGCCCAACAGCTTCTACCAGTTAAAGGAAATCTGAAATTCTAAACCATGATTATGCATTTCTTTTGACAAGAATTACTTTCTAGGGGCGGGTTGTAAAGATGGCTCAATGGGTCAGAATGCCTGCTCCGTGAGCATGTGGGTCTGAGGAGCCCAGATCCCAGCACCTACATAAAAACAAAACAAAACAAAGAACCTGGGTGTAGCTGCACCATCAACTCTAGTGCTGTGGGGAACAGGGATGGGAGGATCAACAGCTTCCCAGGCACCTTCCAGACTTAGTGGGACACTGTACCGCAAAGAGAGAAGGCAGAGGGTAATAGAACAGGATACTTAACATTCTCCTCTGACCTCTGTACACGGGTGAATGAACATGCACACCTGTGCACACATGTGCATACATACCACACACACATACAATCACACAAGAAGGAATTGCTTTCTAGATGTCCTGCATGTGCCAAGCCTTGACCTTAGGCAGTCAGACACACCTTTCCAGTTCTGGTGCGGGAAGATCCTGCTTCCGGACACGGTTCTGGATTGAGGCGAGGGCTTCTGGTGAATACTGGGAAGCATTGCTCTCCATGTATTTTAAAACATACTCATCTGTATCGAGGATGACGAATCGATGGCCGAACACTGAGGAGAGAGGAGTATCACACTCAATTCAGTTTTGTTTCTCTCATGCACTCAGGAGCAAAATAATGCCAACCCTGTAGCAGTAAGTCCACAGATCAACATTTGTGACCTAGACTAGTGAATTGTTTTGTTTTGGTTTTTGGAGACAAGGTCTCTCTCTCTACAAAGCCCTGGCTGTCCTAGAAGCCACTATATAGACTAAGTTGACCTTGAATGCAGGGATCCACCTCCCTCCCAAGTTCTTAGATTAAAAGGGTGTGCCACCACATCTGGCCAGACTAGTGAAGTTTGAGCATCTGTATACATTAATATGGAATGGTTTCCTCAAGTCCTATCTAACGAATGAAGCCAATATAAACAACAATGTAGTATCCACAAGTACAGTCAACTTATAGTGTAATTGACAAGCAAGGATAGTAAGAAATGGTAGCATAAATAGAGTCATATTAGTATCGTCTTAGTCACAACACAGTCAAATTCCTCTTATAAGGCTTAAGAATGCAGTGAGTCACAGCTATGAAGGATCCATTTTCCAGCGCAACAGGAAACTCTGAACTATGGTTAGGCTTACCCTCAATCACGGCACCGATGAAGAAGTCACTTGGTCCATAGTAGATGGGGTTGTCAACTGGAGAGAATGATTTTACAACTTTAGTCCTGCCCAGGAATTTGCCCCCGATGATCCCAGAATTTCGAACAGGTGGCTCAAAGATGCTGATCATATCCGTGGCGAGAAAGTAAGAGAAGACAAACCGACGGTCTTTGTCTTCTGGGATAGGGGATTCCTAGGAAGATGAAGGAAAGAGAATAGCAAGGTTCATGGTCTTTCTAGGAGCGTCCAAATGAAACCAAGCTGGATTCATATAAACATGGCATGTATGGAGGGTCCAGGCTGGCACAGACAGGCTTCATTTCAGGAAGGCCTCGAAAGGGAACCCGTCCTAACTGAACTCCAGTTGAATGCTGTCTTGTGGAAGTGTAGACCCAGTGTTAGTAGATCTTCTAGTTTTGGAGAAGAAGAACTCTTGGGGTTTCTATGTGAGAACCGCTGGCTTTAACATGGTGACTTGAGAGTCCAAAGACAGAAAGGGAGGAAGTGCTTTGGCAGTTTACAAAAGGATGCATCTCCATCCATGAAAGGATGCAGCAAATCACAAGAGCAAACACTGGGAAGAAAGCAGGCTGAGCATGGCTCCAGCCACACAACTCCCCAGCAGTGGGAGAAGGCTCACCCAAAAGGTGAGCCCAGCAACCTGACAAGCTCACAGCCTTCAAAAGGCTCAAACATAGCATAGAGGAGGTCCCATCTCAGAGGGCAGTGGCTGGGAACAATTCTGAGAATCTGTGGTAGCGCATGCTTTTAAGTCTAGCACTCCAGAGACAGAGGCAGGTGAATCTCTGAGTTCGAGGCCAGTCTAGTCTACAGTGCTAGTTTTGAAACAGCCAGGGCAATAAAAAGAAACTCTGTTTTAAAACCAAACCAAAACAACAAAAAGATAATAACTGAGCTGTCTGTGGGCCTGAGAACAGGGAACAGATACAAGCACAGGGCATACATGGGTCAGCTTGCCACAGTTCCAGTGAGAGAGACAGCTCCAAAGAGCAGTTGTGGAGAGCCGGAGGGGTGGTTGTTAACAAACTGAAAAAGTGAAGGTGGTAAGAGGCTCAACTGAGGCACAAAAGTGTGCAGGGAAAAATAGCCCCACCCCCATAGGTCTCATTAACTGTGAAAGTCTTTGTAGCCTTGAGTCTCAGGTCAGGGAATGGATCAACATCCGGGGTCACTGCTGGAGAGTCCCAGAGCTCTGACATGTCAGTGAGTTGTATGTACATCCAAAGCTGGATCCCTTCCACAGAGTGACTGTATTCATTTTCTGTTGCTGTGATAAAACACCGTAAACAAGGCAGCTTATAGAAGGGTTTGTTTGGGGCCCAAGGTTCTACAGCATTAGAGTCCATGATGACAGAGCAGAAGGAGGCGGACAGATGGGGCAGCAGCTGCTGGGGGCTCACATCTCTATCCACAAGCAGGAGGAAGATATCTAAGTGGGATTGGCCAGTTGCTTTTGAAAGCCAAAGCCCCATCCCCACCCTGCTGTGACACACTTCCTCCCAGGAAAATTGAACCTCCTAAGCCTCCCACAAAAGCACCAATAACGGGGGACCAAGTATTCGGATGCTCATTACGTGCTGGGTACATCTCATTCAAACCACCACAGTGATCTATGCTTAGGGATCTGGGAAGTATGGGACAGGTCTTCTGCCAGTCCAGGGCTCAGAGCTATGCAGTAGGTGCCTTCTCTACTCCTAAGGGGCTTAGGACCCACCTACAGCTACCGTATTAACTACCCTGGGCTTACACTCGATTCCTTCTCCCTTATACTGCTCTGCCTAGAAACTCCTGAGCATGGGGTTTGTAGGTGCTGTTTATAAGATTAAGACAATTCCTTTACTCTCCATTTCTTAAGAGATTTGTTTTTAAAATGTGATAGATTGGCTTTTTTAAAAAACAAGTGTTTTGGGAACCTTTTTTTTTTTTTTTAGCTTTATCCTCAAAATAAAATGGTTTGAGGGGAAGGGGTTATTTTTTATTCTCTGTTGAAATCCTCGATCTTGCTCTTTTATCTCTTCAAATATGATGAACTCATCTTTTTAAGCTTGAGTTTGAGTTTGAACTTACATTTCTTTTTACGCTTCATGCTTTAAAATAGTTTGCTGTCTGTCAAAGGCAGCGTGTAAAGAGCTAGAGTATTGGAGACTCGGTAGTTAAGAGCACTGGCTGTCCTTCCAGAAGACCTGGGTTTAATTTCCAGTACCCACAGAGTGACTCACAACCTGTGGTGGTTTCAATGTGCTTGGCCCTGGCCTAGAAAAGTGGTGTATTAGAAGGTGTGACCTTGTTAAAGGAAGTGTGTCACTGTAGGGGTGGGCTTTGAGGACCTTTGCTTAAGCTCCGCCCAGGGAAGAAGGGAGAGTCTACTCCTGACTGCCTTGGAATCAAGATGTAGAACTCTCAGTTCTTTCTTCAGCCCCATGTCTGCCTGGATGCTGCCATGCTTCCTGCCATGAGGATAATGGACTGAACTTCTGAAAATATAAGCCAGTCCCAATCAAATGTTTGCCTTTATAAGTTGCTTTGGTCATGGTTTCTTTTCACAGCAACGGAAACCCTTAGACACAACCTTTACAACTACCTGCTACTCCACTTGTAGGATCTGACATCTATCTTCTGGCCTCCTGGGTATGACACACACACATGGTAGATTGTGGTGGTCCCTGCAAGCCTTCTGGACAGGAGGAAAATGGTACACAAAGAGGCAAAAATAAAACTCTGTTCAGCCCAACTCAGATACCAGGACCAGGCCAAAACATCAAGAGCCTGATGCCAATTCCTTTATTTTAGCCAAGTTTTCTGATAAGCATTAACTCAGTTCCATGAGTATACCAAATGTTAAGATATGTTGGCATTGAAGTTCTTTACAAAGTACATGTGGCTTTGACCATAACGTTGGTTCTATTGACTCAGAAGCAATTCTCAAGATAACGGTCTAGGGAGAATGGCAGGTAAACATAATAGTCTGTGAGAAGTCTGGATTTGGCTTGGCTCTAAGGTAACAGAGAAGTCACTTAGGCTGTTTTAAAGTACAAGGATGAGTTTTACAGCCTAGAAGCCGTGCTCTAGGTTTTAGAGGGAAAGAGTCTGGAAGAAGCAAAGCCTAATTTCTGGAGGAATAAGTGGAGCCTGGATCAATAGGTTGCAAACTACATTCCCAACATTCCCAGAGGAAGACAGGTAAGGCAACTTTTTGATCTCTACAGTACATGAACATACACACAGGCAAAAACACTTATACACATAAAGTAATTTTTAAAAATTTCAAAAGGCAGTGTCTATTAAACTAGTATACTTCAACTGTTTATACTTAATATACAAGGTATCCAATGTAGTTATCACAGCAAGTTCTAAAAACCGGCAAGGCAGTTTCTACTCTTCAGGAAATAGACTCTGGAAAGGTCCGCCAACACACAAATGACTCTAGTATGTCATACACATGTGCAGGTGCTTAACAGAAGCACTCACCAGTGCCGCCAGGTAGCGGAGCACCTTGTTGTCGTTCACCAGCATTTTCACGACATCCTTTCTCGGAGCTTTGGGAATGAGAGCAAAACAATTCTGAGCTGAGTCTTCAATCAGTCCATAGCCATTATAAGGAGGCAACTCCTGGAGATAAAATGAGAAGAAAGGCTACTGGCATCTGTGTTTCACTAGGGGTCGCTGTGAGTGTCTTCTTAAAGGTCAGCCAGCTCAGAAACACTCAAAAGGAACTTCCAAGGATCTGCGAATTCATGGCCAACCTGGGTTATGTAATTAGAGCTCATCTCAAAAACAAATGCATAAACATCCTATTCTCAGCAAGTCACAAGACACATTAAAGAACTAGGAAATTGGCACACTTAAAGGAAAAAGAAAATAAGCAGATGTTATCCCTGAAGAAGATCCAAGGGAGGTGTGCTTGACAATGGCTTTAGAACAACAACGGTCTTAAAAATGATCCAAGAGGGCCTGCCTGTGGGGTGATTCATCGAGGTGAAACCACTTGCCACACAAGCCTCTCGACCTGAATTTGAACCCTGGAATCTACAGTGGAAGGAAAGAACCAACTCCCCAAAGCTCTCCCCTGACCTCCACACATGCCACAACACACATTCAAAACATAAAAAGAAATAAAGCATGCCAGTGGAGAGTTCCATATGCAGCAAAGCTGTCCTTCAGAAATGAGGGACAAATTAAGGTATTTCTAAATGAACAAAAACTGGGGGGGTTTAGTTACCTCTGCACCTGACGAGCAAGCAGTGTGCAAAGCGAGAGGACATTAGACCATCCTCTAACCGTTCCATAACACTGAACACACAGAGGTTAATTGAGAGACATTACAAACTAATCCACAAGTAAGTATGATTGTAATGCTGAGTTGCAATGCCATATTTTCTCTTCTATGTAACTTAAGAGAGCTACAGATACAGCTAGGTAGCAGAGGACTTGTCTGTCGTGTGCAACAGCCCAGGTTTGATGGCCAGCATTAAAAACAAGACAGAACAAAAGAAACCCTTCACGATGTGGGAAATGGATTGACTTCAAGGCAGTGGGGAAACCACTTGAATCTACAGAATATACTCTAAGTCAATACCATTGAACTAGATGCTTTAAAGTAGAAGTAGTTAAGATAGGACGCTGTATGGATTTATACATGATTTAAAACTTGGAAAAAGCCAGGCAGTAGTGGTATACACCTTTAATCCCAGCACTCAGGAGGCAGAGGCAGGCAGGTCTCTGAGAGTTCCAGGCCAGCCTGGTCTAGAGATTGATCAGGACAGCCAAGTGTACACAGAGAAACCTTGCTTTGAAAAGAAAATGGGGAAAAAATTAAAACATCTTAAAACTAATTACGAGCTTTGCTATAAAATCAAACATTATTAGCTACCTAGTGACTATCAGAAGGAAGTTCTCTGGTCAATCTCCTGCTTGCTACTTTCCCATTCCGACAAAGAGAAACAATGCCCACAAATGGTATTGTGGCCATTCTGACACCTGTTGCCTAGGCTTTAGAAGCAGAGGTTATATACCAAGCTGTAGTCATGTAGTCACTTGAAAATAGGCTATGGGCATTCTCCATGTTGATATGCATACACTTACTCTATCTTCTACAGGCCTTACAAGTTCCTACTAGTATGGGTAGATGTGTTTTGTCAACCTCATTCTTCATCCTGCATAAAACATGCATTCCTTTACGGTTCTCAAAGCATATTTTGTAGACCAAAGATAAACAATATTCTAAGGAATTAAAATGACAACAGGTAGCACTTCAGAAAGGTCATTCTAACTGGCTTTCCCAAGAACAGTATAGGAAAAATCGCATTTTCATGAGACAAACACTAGGTACTGAAAAATCTCTAAAACTGAGCAGATTATAAAACCTCATTATTGATGCTCTGCTTCTTTGGTTATTGGTAGACTATGGGTTCTTTCCTACAGTTCTGGGCTCTGTATTTCTTTTTCTGTGAGCCTCTGTCATACAGAAGTCATCCATTTTCATGGAGTTCTTCAGTTTCTACATCTTATTCTTACCATATCCGAGATCTCTATCGCATTACCTGTTTTACAGGAGGTGGCTCCTTCTTGCTCACGTCAACTGGTGGTAAATCGGGCATTCCAAACTTGTCTTTGTAGAACTGTCGGGTGAATGGGTCACAGTCATAGATGAAGAAGGTCCTCCCCAGGATGGTGAGTGGCTTCCCCACAATGAAGTCCTTGGCAGTGTACCACTCCAACACCTCTTGATCGGAGATTTCCAGCACACACTGAGGGAAATTCTCTAATAGGACACGGGGTTAGAAGGGTGGAGGAATAAACAGGGCAAGAAAGCTTGACATGGAATGCTGAATACTCTTGAGGGCTGGCTCTGGTTCAGGGTTCAGTACCTACTGATGTGCCATCGGGCTGGGCTTTTCAATCTTCAACAGAATACAAAAATAATATGCCAGACATTTTCCACAAAATCTCTCTTCTACACTCAGCTAGCACTGTCATCACCAACCTCGGAGTTCCACAGAATTAATACCTAGTCATATGAGGCATGTCAGAGAGTTGGTTCCAGCTTGCCACCCCGTCTTCTACCCAACAATTATTAGTGATTTTATGCACACAAAGTGCACTGTTAGCTACCGAGGTTACACAATTAATTGTGTAAAAGCAACTCCTATCTTTGTGGAGAAAATACTCTGTTGAGATAGACCCTAAATAATAATAGCATAGATAATGGTTTGCCGTCCACTCAACGATTACCACTGCTATGAATAGGGCATAGCTTAGTCATATATATGAGGCAGGGGCATAGACAATGAGATGATTACAATAATCCACCCACTCATATAGGGATCACCTTCACATACTGAATGAGTCTTGCATTTGGGAACTAAGTCCAGTTTTACCAGTGGTTTTATTGTTGTTGTTGTTGCTTTGGTTTTTTTTTTTTGAGAACTAAGAGTTGACTTATTTCAGATCAGCATGGTCTTTATAGACATCACCAAAGCCAGTCAACTCTGGTGGGGTACCACATTAGGTAGCTGTAAGCAGAAAGCAGAAATGCATGGACCCAGAAGAGGGCAGGACTCCCTGACTGGTAATTGCTAAGATGGAAAATTAGAAAAAAAAAAAAACAAAAGACAGAATGTCTAGGGTATGATAAATAAATGCTCACTCAACAGCCCTTTCAGTTTTCCAGCAGATCCATTAAAAACATAAAAAAAATGTACATATTAGCTGGATGTGATGGCACACACCTTTAATCCCAGCACTTGAAAGAAAAGGCAGGTGGACCTCTCTCTGTAAATTTGAGGCCAGCCTCATCTACAAATCTAGTTAGAGAACACAGCCAGGGCTGTTACACAGAGAAATCCTATCTTGAACACACCCCCTCTCACAAATTGCACATATTCATTGCACAAAACCATGGGAGGTTTTGATATGATATATATTGTGTAGTCACTAAATCAGGCTATCAACGTGCTGATGTTTTATTTCTCTAAAGTAAAAAGAGTCAAAATCTTTGGTTTTCATTTTTTGTTTTCTTTTGTTTTATCTTGTCCTGCTTGAGACAGGGCTCTCTTATGAAGCACTGCATTTCCTTGAACTTTTAGCCTCAGCTTCCTATGGGCTAGCACAGGCATGACCTGGTGTGGCTGTCCTAGCTTTTTGAAATATACAGTATGTACTTGTCTGTAGCCATGGTGCTGTGTAGTTGCACTAGTCAATTTCTTCCTGTCTCTCCTCTGCACTTGTCTGTCCGTGTGTGTGTGTGTGTGTGTGTGTGTGTGTTGATAACTATTCATTCAGGTCTCGTTTTTATTCTTAACTGGGTCACTTGCTGTTTGTCTGTCTGTCTGTCTGTCTGTCTGTCTGCTTCTTTGGTTTTGTTATTGAAAATTTATCCTTTAGCTCTGCAAGTATTTTGGATACTAATCCCTTGCAGAAGTCTAGCTAGCAAATTTTTTCCATTCTACATGCTGTTTCTTCTCCCTCTCTTTGTTTCCTTTGTGGAACAGAAACCTTTAACTTCATAAAGTCCATTTGTACATTTTGGTTTTGGTTTCCCAGGCTTTGGGGATCTTGTAAACAAACAAACAAACCAAACCAAAACAACAACAAAACCCTGCCCTTTTCAATTTCTTAAGTCATTTCCCCCTGTTTCTTTTCATGTCTGGCATTTGCATCATTAATCTCCTTTGAGTTAATTTTTTTTAACTGGAAAAAGTGAGTAACCATACCATTCCCATCTTAGAGAAAGATGTGTAGCTTCTCCTCATTCAGTATAATGCTAGCTTTATCATATGGGATCTATAGTTCACTGAAGTACAACATACCTTCTAAATCTAATTTGTTTAGTGATTTTATTAAGAAAGGATGTTGAACCTTATACAATGCGTTTCCTGTGAATCCTGAGATGCTCATGTGGTTTTAATGTAGGATGATTTAGGACTTTGGCTTGTTATTGGTCTGTTCATCTTTAAAGATTTTCATATGATAATTCCACCTTGAAAGAGTTGTATTGTTTAGAAGTCTGTCCATTTCTCTTCTCATTTCTCTTATTTTGGCCTATGTGTGTTCATAATGATCTGTTAGTGAGCTTTTAAAAATATTTATTTTCTTTCTGATTATGTGCATATAGGCAGAGGTGTTGGGATCTGGAACTGGAGTTACAGACAATTGTGAGTCACCCTGTGGAGGCACTGAAACCAGGTCCTCTGCAAGATCAGTGTGCACTCTCAGCTGCTAAGTCATCTCTGCAGCCTGTGGCGAACTTTTATATCACTGTAGTATCTACTGTAGCGTCTCCCTCCTCATTGATGATTCCGAGCCTTCTCTTCTTTCTTAGCCCAGCTACAAGACTGCCAATTTTGCTCGTCTTTCTTGAAGAACAAACTGTTTTAATAATTCTTTGTATTCTCTCTCTCTCTCTCC